AATAGATGGAATAAAAGAGGTCCTATATAAATGTTTGTTGAATAACTATATAAAAAAATTAAAGAATACTCGGGAGGGTCACTATAAGATAAAGGTTTAAATTTCATCGTCATTAGTGTATATGAACTATCTAGTTGCTATGTTCCTTCATATGTACTATAAGCTGATTCTGTACAGAAAATTAGAACAAAACTGCATTCAGCTTTTAAATAACTGTCTTCTTGGAGATCACACCATTGCTGAATAATGAATATCATTTGATTGTTCTTCCCTTCTGTCAAAAAGAGTTAAAGCTAGTGAAATACATTCTTTAAGAAAATGTGTGTACCATATGTGGATGACTTATCATCGTGCCCTCTTTAAAAAGTCCAAGTATATGAAAATCAGAGATAGTACAGAGGTGCAAGTTCAAGAATGATACAGCTTTTTGAAATCCTATGTAAATTGCTTTCCCCTCTTTACAATTCCAGGAGAGAATAAGAGAGCAAATTTTTGCAAACTTGCCAGTCCTTGGATCTTTGTTTGTCTTACGCATGGTCCCACTTGGGGTCTAATGAGCCAAGGCTATTATACATAAGCTATTGTCAGGGACCGTGCATTGGATAGTGGCAGAGAAGTGACTCAGAAGTGACCGTTGCAGAAATGTGCAGAAGTTTAAAGACTAAGACCACTCCTATCGTGATATATAATAAGGTCATTAGCTACTGAAATCACCACTGCCATTCAGGTCAGTGGGAGGGGAAGGAGTTGGTAAAGAGCAGTCTTACAGCACCATGACTATTTTTGCCTATTGAGATTCATATTCTTTTAATTTCACCTTGGGAAAAAAATGACTGGAAGAGATAATAGACTACATTTCATCCAGATCTTATCTTTATAGAGATTCTTAAGTTTTAATATAAATAAATATCACTTACAGACCCTAAAAATATACTCCCACTCAAGTGAGTCTGATTCAGTAGGTCTCTGATGAAGCTCAAAGAGCTGCAGTTGCAGTAATACCCCAGGTAATTTTAATATAGATAGGTCCTAGACCACACTTTGGAAAACACTGATTTGCGGGAATGTAAGCATTTCTCATGATCCAAATATAGAAGCTCATTATGTTTGTATTTTAATAAAGAAACAAAATGTATTTTCCCTTTAAAATAAATTATTATGGACATTTTCTTAGATATGTAATTATGTACATTAGTATGGATGATTTCAGGGATATAAAACATCCTTCACCTCATCCCACATGACCTGGTAAATCCTATGCAGAAGGGTTTAAATACTAACTTCCTATAATACAGCATTGGTTTTCCAAAAATGAAGTCTTTAAATGTATTGGTAATAAAGTTTGTAAAAGGAATGTACATTTAAAATATGATTTCACCTCAGGCAGTATAGAAACACTACTTTTCTGATTGTTTTTCTTGCTTTGATTCCTAAGGAATGTTTGAATAAATTATTGAATGACTGGCTTTTAAAATACCTACAAAACTTACAAGTCTGAAGTAAAGAATATTATTAAAATGTAGAGCATTTAAATCCTTTATTATATTTGCTCTCCTTATTTAAGGATTTATTATCAGCTTGGAAGAGCTTCAGAAATTTAGTTGCTATTTGCTCTCTATAGGTACCTGTAGAGAAGATTCCTAGAATGGGTTTAGGTTGAAATCCCACATTACTCTCAGGTTTCATCAGAGATAATTTAATCTCTAGGGCTGGGAACAATCTAGACAAATTACTTCCACAGGAAGATAACACAACCCTTTACCGACTCAGATTCTTCACCTGCTGCCACGCCCTGAATTCTCCCTTTTACCTGGACCTCTTCCTCTAAAGCAGCTTCTCTGGCTTCCTGACTCCAGCCAACTTACCCATTTTCTCTTCTAGAAAAATTTTCCTTCTAACTTCCAAAGTGCATTTCCAGTCTATCATCTGACAGGGTATTTCCATATCTGAAATACATATACTTCTAAAATTCTAGGCAAAATCTAGATTATGGAAAATCTAACCATATTTCAGATAAAAACTGATTCTTATTATTTAATGTCTTGGGGACAGGTAATAAGATAGGGTTATGATGAGATGTGGCAAATAATATGGCAGATTCAATCAGTTTAACCCAGGAAATTCATCAGGGCATTCCAGTATCACAAAATCAGAGTCTGGGACTTCTTGTCAAATTAACCCAGGTTTGTGTCCTGGCCCTTCCATACACGATCTTTGACAAATCACTTTACTTCTCTGGATCATAGTTACCTCATTTGTTAAAATATGGTTAATGATATTTATTTGATGGATTATTATAGCAATTAAATTATACTTTGCATGTAAAATCATTATTAAAGTGAAATTTAGCTTAATGTATATTACTTGCATTTCATGGCTCATCTTTAATTTTTAAATTGTTTTTTGGATGAACCTGCTAGCATTGTCTTTATTACATTTTTTGTTAGGTGTCTGGTATTTTGTCACATATATTGGTGCAAAAATCGATTCAATTTATTAATTCAAAAATATAGTTATTTTTAAATGAATAAATATACATTTTAGATAAATATATATATATATATTTTATATGTCAATTTAAATAAATATAATTTTTAACTAGTAGTGCAGGACCAACTTGGATATTCCAAACTGGACTCAAGGTTGAGAAACTACTTATATGATAAGCTGCCATTATGTATTTTTTTCCTTAATTCTTTACTTTTTTTTCATTCTTGGATGCAGGATGTAAACTGTAGAATGTGAGTGATAGAAGGATATTATTATTAATCACTTCATATGGGCAAAAATACACAACGAAGCAACATATGTATTTGCCTTTCGAAGTGCCATTCCTTTCCTGGAGTTCTGTTTCAGATGGTGACATTCACCACAATGCAACGAGACCACATCAAATTGCACACATGGAGTCATGTTAGAAGCACAGATGAAACGACATATTTTGTTTTGTCTACTCTCATTAGAGGCATGCACAAAATAATTTGTTTACCATCCCAGGATCAGAGTTGATAATTTACTAATGGCTAATAATGCCTTTCTGTGTACTCTGAGTTAAATGTCTCCCTTTGACAGGAAAGTTAATAGAGAGTAATATTTTTTTTAATCAAAAAAACAATGCTTTCAACTTTCTGATTGTATGTAGACTCAGAGAGGATGTGCAGTGGGGTCAGAGCTTAAAAACATCCCTGCATTCTTGTTTTTAAAATAATGCTTGTAATGTGGGGAAACAAAGTTCAAACTGCAAAAAAATAAGATTAAGAAGACCAAGCGTTGCTTAATAAATTGGCAGGCATGTCCACATGCAAGGGATTAACGTAGCTTCTACAAACTTGGCAGTATATGCACTTAATGTCTGTTTGTTTCTTACACACACACACACACACACACACACACACACACACACACACACAACACCATTATGCACCAGGCCTGAGAAAAGCATTTCAGAAGATGCTGGTCAAAGTTCTACCTACCTGGAAGGTTCCATACTAGTAGCTGTTTTATGGAGTCTTCAGAACACCTGCTGAATATACTGAGGCATTTTCTCATATGCTCTTGAGAAGCCTTAAGTAGGAGAAACAATTCTTATAACATGTCCTGTGAAATGTTTGTAGTCCCAATTAGCAACCACTGGAGTGATTTACAGACCTTGGAAATGTTTGCTTGTCAATGCTTTAAATGAAACATATTATCCAAGGTTTGCCCCAGTCTACCCATAGCAGCTGGAGTTTGTGTCATGTTTGATTCATTCTCCTTGGTTTACTACAACGGAACACTTAACAGGTGGATAGAAAATAAAACAGCTTGTGTCAGAAGAATAAATTATGTCATCAAGACCTGGGCATTATTTAATAGTCACATATTTATATGTGGCCTGTTCTAGCAAAAGTTCTAAAACTAGTTATGGCTCCCAGCAGGGAAGATCAATTTGCAATTCACAAATCACTTATGTTACACTTTTGTTGTAAAAAATGATAATTTGTTGGTTTAAATAAAATCTTTTTTTTTCCACAAATATTTTTTTAAACTGAAGTATAGTTGATTAACACTATTGTGTTAGTTTCAGATACAGCAAAGTGATTCATTTATATATATATATATATATATATATATATATATATATATATATACACACACACACATATATATGTTGTTTTTCAGATTCTTTTCCCTTACAAGTTATTACAAAATATTGGGTAGAGTTCCTCGTGCTGTAGAATAGGTCCTTGTTGTTTATCTATGTTTAATTTAATTTAATTTATTTTTTTTAACATCTTTACTGGAGTAAAATTGCTTTACAATGGTATGTTTCTGCTGTATAACAAAGTGAATCAGCTGTACATATACATATATCCTCATATCTCCTCCCTCTTGCATCTCCCTCCCACCCTCCCTATCCCACCCCTCTAGGTGGTCACAGAGCACCGAGCTGATCTCCCTGTGCTAAGCAGCTGCTTCCCACTAGCTATCTATTTTACAATTGGTAGTGTATATATGTCCATGCCACTCTCTCACTTTGTCATATCTTGCCCTTCCCCCTCCCCGTGTCCTCAAGTCCATTCTCTATGTCTGTGCCTTTATTCCTGTCCTGCCCCTAGGTTCTTCAGAACCTTTTTTTTTTTTTTTTTTAGTTTCCATATATATGTGTTAGCATATGGTATTTGTTTTTCTCTTTCTGACTTACTTCACTCTGTATGACAGACTCTAGGTCCATCCACCTCACTGCAAATAACTCAATTTCGTTTCTTTTTATGGCTGAGTAATATTCCATTGTATATATGTGCCACATTCTCTTTATCCATTCATCTGTCAATGGACACTTACGTTGCTTCCATGTCCTGACTATTGTAAATAGAGCTGCAGCGAATATTGTGGTACATGACTCTTTTGAATTATGGTTTTCTCAGGGTATATTGCTCAGTAGTGGGATTGCTGGGTTGTATGGTAGTTCTATTTTTAGTTTTTTAAGGACCCTCCATACTGTTCTCCATAGTGGCTGTACAAATATGGAATGCTTCACAAATTTGCGTGTCCTCCTTGCACAGGAGACATGCTAATCTTCTATCGTTCCAATTTTAGTATATGTGCTGCCGAAGCAAGCACTAAATAAAATCTTTTATCTCAAGTATGGATGCTGGTGTTTGAGAGTATCAGTGCTCTTAGCCACTGACAGAGCATACAGAGTATAAAATGTTGGGGTTTTATGAAATGTTCTTACATTAGCACTATTTTATAAAACTGGATTCTATGATTTAAATAAAAAGAAATGTATGGATTTTATATTATATCCTAAAGAGGGTGCTAAACTGTTAATACACCAGTTAGTCTTCCTTCATGAAACATTAGCCAGTATTGAATGCTCATCTTTGGCTTACTGTCTGTATCCTTTTTTTATCAGAGTCAGAGATACATTTGTGGGAATGCCTTGACATGATTTTAAAGGTAACCTGCCTAGATGGGTTTTTTTCCAGCCAAAATAATACCTTTACTTTATTATTTTTCCTGTTGAAGTAGTGTTGATTTACAATGTTGTCTCAATCTCTGCTGTACAGCAAAGTGACTCAGTTATACACATATATAAATATATATATGTTCTTTTCATATTTTTTCCATTATGGTTTATCCCAGGAGATTGGATATAGTTCCCTGTGCTATCCAGTAGGACATTGTTTATCCATTCTAGATGTGTTTAATTAGTTAGAAGGCAGTGTAGAGAGCTCAGGATTTGGAGTAGGAGCTCTGTACCCATGCTGCCATTCTTTTTCCACTCTTTACCTTACAAGTGGCTGTGAGATTTCAAGGAAATAATTTATGCAAAATAGCTCCAATGACATCTGGAACAGAGGATAGCTCTGTATCCATAGATCTGATTCCATTTTTGAAAATAATGTCTGCTGTGTGTGCTCTCACTCTGAGATTAAAATTTTTCCCTTTTTAATTTTCTCAGAAAATGTTCCCTGATGTTTATGTATTTGGATACCACAAATGCACATGGGTGGACACACACACATGTGATTCATTTTGTTGAAATTATAAACTCTCTAGAGTTCTGTTTCCTAACCTAATCTGATCACTGACTGGGTTGTATTGCATTGTCCCTAAAGGTCCTCCATAGCTCTTTGATGGTTATTTTATGTGTTAACTTGACTGGGCTGAGAGATGCCCAGATAGCTGGTAAAACGTTATTTTTGGGTGTATCTGTGAGGATGTTTCTGGAAAAGATTAGCATTTGAATCATAGACAGTAAAGAGATCCATCTCACCAATGCAGGTGGACATTATCCAATCCAATGAGGGCCTGAATAGAACAAAAATGTGGAGGAAGGGAAAATTCGCTGTCTCTGTTTGAGTTGGGACAACCAGCTTCTCTTGCCCTCAGATATCAGTGTTCCTGGTTTTGGAGCCTTTGGACTCAAACTGGGACTTACAACATTAGACCCCCTGGTTCCTATTAAGCCTTCAGGTTTGAACTAGAAGTACAATACCAGCATACCTCGGCCTCCAGTTTGCAGATGGCAGATCATGGGACTTCTCAGCCTCCGTAAATAGGTCAATTTCTTATAATCTCTCTCTCTTCCTCTCCTCTCTCTCTCTCTCTCTCTCTCTCTCTCTCTCTCTCTATATATATATATATATATATATATATATATGGCACATATCATTGGTCTGGTTTCTGGAGAAACATGACTTACCACAAGCTATAAAAGTCTTCTATGATTCTAAAAGAAAACCTCTGTGAATGTGTTTAAAAAAAAACAGAGAAAGAAAATTATTTCAGGATAGGTGGTGTGAAGGAGGTAGGAGGTGGAGGGCTAACAGTAGGTAAGTTAAATCAGCTTTACAGGAGCTGGTATAGTATCTATCTTGTTAACTTTTCATTAATAATATCTAGCACATATTATGCACTTGAAGTTTGTTGAATGCATCCATTCATGCCTAAGTGGATGAATGAATTGGTAGATGGAAAACTATGACAAAATTCAGTTTAAGGAGACACAGATCAATTGAAACAAGATTGTGAGAGTAGTGACTGAGAACATGACCTATGATGTTATTAAGGCCTGAATTCGAATCTTAACTTTGATAATTATCAGCTATGGGATTCTGGACAAGTAACCAACTCCTTGAGTCAAATTTCCTCCTTATAATAATTCTAGGTAGTGGGTATTACTATCTTTTCCCATGATGACGACAATGAGACAGGTTAAACACTCTGTACCTGCCTCACAGTAAGCAGTGTGACGATGAGGGTGAAGATTATAGCTTAAGAGCAATATATAATATGTATGAAGTTGTATAGTGTCTATTCTTCAGTTATTACCTTCAGCCTATTATAGAAATTCGCCCAACAAACTTGTATTTCTCTCATGGATCACTTAAACGAAAGGCAGTGTGACCATGTGACAGACTCATTTTGATCTCCAACTTGGTTATAGTAGTTTGCTTGCCAGCTTATGCAGTTTAAAGCTTACATTAGTTATCTTTTTCTGCTATTAATACCTCCAAAACGTAATGGCTTAAGACAAAAAAAAAAACTTTATTATTTCCTGATTCTGTGTATCCTCTGGACAATTCTTTTGGTCTGGGCTAAGTCATGCCATCTTTCTGGGCATATGGTGATTGGGCTTGTTAGTCTAGCATGTTCTCTTTCACAGGTGAGAAGTTGGCATGATGTCACCTTGGACCACAGCAATGACTTGCCTATGTGTCTTTCATTATCCAGCAAGCTATCTTGGGCTCATTTCCATGGTCATGGTTATAGAGTTCAAAGAGAGAGCAAATCCCAATGTAGAAGCACTTTCAAGTTCTACTTTTGCTATTTTTTTCTAATGACTTCTTGGACAAAGCAAGTCACATGGCCAAGTCCAGATTTAGAGAGTAGAAAAACACATAAGCTTCACCATTAGCTTGGAGGAGTTGCAAGATCAAGGGTATTATCCATACAGGTGTTGGAGGAATTTGTAGTCATTGTAACCATTGTAGTACTGCAATCTACCACACTCTGTTGAATGTGGTACTCACCATTCACTGCTAAAACTGACCATAATCCCCTTCAAAATCGACTGTTCTATGCCTTCAGCATCCATGAATACAGTGGCTTGCTCATGGTAGTTGTTGATTACTTTTAACTGAGAAAGGAAGAATCTAAGCTTCATCTAGTCATTCTTCCTTTATAATTCAGTTTTAATTAAAATACTTAAATTTTATTAACTTTAAGGTACAAAATATGAGTCTTATTCAAGTACATAGAAAGACTGTTGTGTAGAAAAAGGCATTACTTTTATTTTAAAAGGCTTGACATTTGCTCTCTAACAAGTCATTTAAACTCACTGCATCTGGTTGCAAAATAAAAATGGGAACTAATTTGATTTTTCTCCCCTGTGAGACAAATGAGACAATATATGCGAGAATTGCAATGTGTTAACTGTTATAATGTGAGACAAAATATCTTAATAATATATAAGGAAACAAGCAATGTCTTTGAATTTAATTGTTTTAAAAATGAAACCTTGTTTATCTAGTTTTCTATCTCCATGTGCATTTAAAGACTTGTAATAAAAGCCAGTTACCTTTTGATTAATTGCATTATAAATATGGAGCCAGTATGTATCAGACACAGTTTAGGTACATACTCAACAGTTTTACTAGCATGAATTTTCCTTGAGTCTTCTAATTTTTTTGTTCTCTGGGGACTTAAAAGAAGCATCAATGTAACATTGATTCTTAACTAGGGTGAATTTGCCCCCCGCCCAGGGTACAGTTGATAATGACTAGAAACATTTTTGGTTATTGTAACTTGGAGAGGTTGAGCACAGGCAACTAGTGAGTAGAGGTCAGAGATGCAGGGGACGCGGGTTTGTGCCCCGGTCCGGGAGGATCCCACATGCCGCGGAGTGGCTGGGCCCGTGAGCCATGGCCGCTGAGCCTGCGCATCCAGAGCCTGTGCTCCGCAACGGGAGAGGCCACAACGGTGAGAGGCCCGCGCACCGCAAAAAAAAATCCAAAACAAACAAACAAACAAAAAAAAACAAAGATGCTGCTAAACATCCTACAATGCAGAGTGGTCCCTCCAACTCCCCAATAAAAAGTTACTCAGCCCAGTATGTCAGTAGTGCCAAGGCTGAGAAACCCTGCTTAACTGAGTGAAGAATTTACTGTGAGGTCATGATTTTATAGAGAAAGCAGTTGATGATGAGCATGATGATGGCAGTGTTACAGAGGACCAGACGGAGAGAGGCTTCTTTTCTATTCCTCCTCTCCAGAAGTGACTACCCTTCCACAAAGGACAGGATGGTAAGGAGCAATCTCAAGTCTTTTTACCCATTGAGTGAACCCTGCCCTTCTGGTACTTCCCAGTGCTCACTTATTATCTCAGTGGTCTTCTCCCTGTCCAGCTTTACACAGCATTTTCTTACTGTTGTTTTCTTGAAGCATTATCTGAGCTACTGACTGGGGCTTTAAAATTGATGAGGTACCATCAGCAATTTCCATTTTTATTAAGGGAGCAGAGGCGAGGGGGAGTTGAGTTCTGGAGTGTGTTTGGGAGGTGTTTGTTTTGACTGTCTGGTGGCTGCATACCAGCCTGAGGGAGTCACAAATGTCACTGCTGTGCAATGGTATAATTTTCCTGCTGCTCCAGAGAGTCTTCTGTGTTAATCTCCTGGCATGTCTGGCGACTTTCAAAATAGAAGTTAAAGGCAATTCCATGGAGCAGTGAAAAAAGATTCAAGGTCCCCATTTGTATTTGTGAGGACAGAGAAAATTGCTATGTGCAGTTGGCCCTTTTCATTATTGAGAACATAGAGCAGCTCGGCTTTCACCAGGGCTAATTGATTTTCACAGCTGGTGCAAGAAAGTCTAAGGATGGTATGGAACTTAAAAAGTCCCTTTGTCCAGACACTGAAGCTCATGGGTTCTGCATGGACTTAAAATTTGGGCTTCAAGAAGAGATGCTGAAATCTTCCGAAATAACCTTGGGCACCAACCGGAAAAGAGTTACTTGTTCATAGAATGCATGGTGTGAGTGGGTTATGGCCTGCCATATGGCATCCCTTCAAATTCATTATTTTCCCTTTACATTAATTATGTTATATGGCACAAACC